GGAATGAAAAGGGTGCCCTTTTTGGTTTTAAGGGGATTATAAGGGAGCCCCAACCCTAAAAAAGGAAATAAGGGCCTACTCCGGGTCCTAGATTCTAATGGTTCTCTGCATGGCGTCGAGTGCCTGCAAGACAGACTATGTCTACTCTTAGGGTTTAGGGTTTAGGGTTTAGGGTCTACTCGGAACTCGAACCTAAGCTAGGCCTGACACACCACACGCCCGAAGCCCCAAACAAACACATCAACACCGAAGATAGGAGCCTCACTAGCTAGAGTGGCATTTTGTGGGGTAGATATACTACAGAATTCTATGGACACAGTATATCAAGGTTATACCAAGCAACTGTTACTGCTTCTTCAGGCTTCTCTGCTTCTACGCACTTCAGTGACTCCCCCACTCGCTCCCTTTAGTCTCGACTGCCTGGTAATCGCAACTGCTGAGGATGCTGTCCACCACGCTGCCTTGGAAGGCAAAGCAGGCAAACTCCGGAATAGGGTTTAGGGGTTTAGGGGTTGAGGGGTTTAGGGTTTTAGGGTTTAGGGGTACCTTGTTGGCTCCAAAAGGCTGGACTTCTTGGGTTCCCTCTTATTACGGTTTCCTTAATTGCATGTCTCATCGGCCCCCTTAAAACGAGGGTTTAGGGTTTAGGGTTTAGGGTGCTTCTGGGCTACAAGACCGGAGGTTTAGGGCGCAGAGTTGGCCTGAGTCCGGCTACACACTCAGCTGGAAACCCTCACAGAAACCCCGGTCAGCAGCTCCTTTTGGGATAGCCCTTAAAGGCCTTGTAGTAGTCCCTATAGAAACTCCCCTGGTAGAAGCCCCAGTCATACAGATAGAAGCCTTGATGAAAACCCCTAGAGTATTCCTTATGGGTAGTTCTCTAAATTAGGGTCCCTTTCTAGGTCCCCAATATAGTACGGCACCCTTATAAAAAGGACCCTAAAAGGGACCCTAATTTAGAGAACTACCCTTATGGTAAGCTCAAGAGCAGAGGCTCCGCGGCAGAAAGTATCCGGCGAGGTCCAACTGTCAACTACCATCGGGGCCTTGATTACATTAGAATAAACCCTAAACCCTAAACCCTAAACCCTATTAGAATAGGGTGATGATTGCGAGATATAGTATGGAATTTTCGTACTCATAAGCTGTAAGGAACCTTAAGGAAGAACACTGGCAATTTAGGCTTCTATACTACTAATTACCGATGTAGAGTTCATCCCGACAGTCCACACCAGGGGCTTTAGGTGTTTAGGTGTTTACGGACTGCAGTGGACCATGCCAAAGAGAACGGAGACCCTCGCTGTACCCGGGGGGGCAGGGGTTATCAGCGAAGCTTCGAAGTCTAAATCCCCACAGCCCTGCAACCCCGAAGTGTCCATAAACCTGAAACCCCTTGATGTGTTGGGCTTAGGGTTTGGGTTTGTGGGCTTTAGGTCTTCTTTCCCACCCTCGAACTTCGAATATGTCAGGTCTTGAGCTTCGATCATTCTGGTGTGTTTGTTTGGCTGTTCTTTGCTTCTGGCGTTTCGGGTTCCTAGGTTTTGGGGTTGAGAAAGGCTGTTTTCTTTAGGGGTGTCCCTAAACCCTAAACCGCAAACCTTCTGCAGGGAAAAACTAAGGAAATACCTCAGGCCCCGAGTCCTCAACCCTAGAATGGCCAAGGGGCCCAAGCCGCTTGATCCCTGAAAAACAAAAACTTAGGGTTTTGGGTTTAGGGTTTAGGGTTTAGGGTTAGACACCTGATTCTAACCGCTAACCCCTCTCTGCAGCGCACACACAATAAGCCACGAACCCCAAATTCCCTAGAAAGCAAATCCCATTTCTGGGATCGTGGAAGTCAGTCAGAACACCCCTCGGCAACTCGACCTAATCTCAAATCGCCTGAAGCCTAAAAAAATAAACTCCAAGCCCCATAACCCTGTAACCCTACAGCCCTGCAGCTTAAACCCTAAGCCCTAAATCATATCCTCAAACCCCATAGCCCTAAACCCTAAACCCCTAAACCCCATAAACCTGGAAACCTCAAACGCGGGTGCCCGACGTTCCATGCCGCTGTCGATCATCTTCTGGCTGAGCGAAGACCGCCCGGCTTGATCTCGATAGCCTCAGGGAGCTGAAGGACTGGGCTTCCTTGGGTTCAGGGTTCAGGGTTTACGGTTTAGGGTTTACCCTAAACCCTAAACCCCACACCCCACACCCCTAAACCCTAAACCCTTGTGGTGAGATCCCAAACCCTGGCCCCCCAAGCCGAAACATTCCCGCAGAAAGCCCAAGACTCTTTTAGGAGCCTTAGGGTAGGACACTGAGGGAGGTTAGGGTTTAGGATTGCTTTGAAGGACTATGCCTTAGACTTCTTTAGGGTATAGGACTTAGGACATTGAGGGAGTTTAGGGGTTTTAAATTTCGCTTTGGGATTTACGTCGGAATTCGTGAGTTTAGGATTTAGGACGTTCTATAAGCCATGCAAGCCACGTAGTTCCTACACGCAGAGCGGTCCTTCCATGCCTTGAATCTGGGGTGAACAAGCCCTACACCCTCCGGAGGATCTCCGTGTGGGGCTTAGTTTAAGGCGACGGGTTTAGGGTTCGAGACTTGAGATGTACATACAACTCCCGCCTGAAGCCGAGGGTATGATGTTGTCTGCGCAGGGTGTCCAGAGTAACAACAGGAACAAAAAAGCAATCATGTGGATATTGGTGGCACGAGCAGCAGTTATACATAAAACCCTAAACCCGTAATCCGTCACAGACCCATACACTCAAAACCCTAAACCCTGAAACCCTAGACTCCTGTACACATGAACATGGAAGCTAAGCCGAACATATCAGCTTGCACTTGATGCACTGGAGACGTTGGGAGTCCCAGAAGGATCCATGTACCCATATAGTAGCTACTCGGTAGGTACGTTGGGTCCCACAAGTTTCTACTAAACCAAAGACACCCAAACGGGAGCCCCTAAACCCTAAACCCTTAACACACTATACTATTACTTGGACCCTTTGGGAGTGTTGAGTCTGGGATAAGGATACTTACCTTGAAACTCCAACCATCCTACGCAGCAGATTGTAACTGAAGACGTACGTAGAGGCTCTACGGCCAGATCGTAGAATGCCGGATGAATAGACATTTGAAGCCTCCTAAACCCTGAACCCCAAACCCCAAACCCTTAACCACTATAAAGCCCCAAACCCTAAACCCTGAAGCCCAAAACCCAAAACCCGAAGTGCTGCAGGATCCATCATCGTCCCCTTGAAGTGATTTCAGGCGGAGCAGCAAAGTCCGTTCAGTCCCTGCTCTACCCCATTCGCGATGTCGGGGATGCCGTACCTGGTGTAGGGGTGTAGGGTTTAGGGTTTAGGGTTCGGGGTTTGGGGTTTAGGGTTTGGGGTTTAGGTGTTTAGGGTTTGGGGTTTAGGGTTTGGGGGTTTAGGGTTTGGGGTTTGGTGCCATAGCTGCTCGAAGTTCATGGGAGCACATCTCATCAAGAACTGATGCGGACATGGTCGCTAGGATCTGATGCAGGTACTTCATGGTTTACAGGACCCCGCGGCACGCCACAGCCAAAGATTATAAGATGAAGGAGACAGGCACCCCAGGACATTGTGCCTTGTGCTTGAGAGGCTGAAGACTTTGATGGTACATAGACACTCCTACATCGAATCCAACCTGCAAAAAAAGTTGAACGAGATAGCTGCGATGCGCACTACTACGGCCATTACAGCAATCAGTTCTTGTTCCGGGGCAGAAACAATGCTTGCTGTACTAGTGCTGGAAGCAAGTATACCTTGCACTGAAAACCACTCTACTGATCGTCATTGAAAGCTATAGGTGGTGCCGGTGCTTCAAGTACTGGAAATTCTGCACACGTAGTTCTCAAGTGCATATGGGTCAGTGCCCCCAGCGACATCGCTTAGGGAATTGGTGGGTTTTAGGGCTTTAAAGTGATAGATTGCGTTTGGGGTTTCGGGGTGTAGGGTTTAGTGTTTCAGAGTCCCGAGCTCAGGGTTCATAGTTGGATAGAGGGTTTAGGAAGTATAGCGAGCGGAGGGAACTTTTGGGCAGGGATATAATGGGAAGTTATACTCTGGTATAACTACAATATGGAACCCTTACAGTATATACATCATAGTAGAACTAGAGTGACGAACTCCTACTAGACAGTTAAGAGAGCCAGAAGTAGGGTCAAGAAGGGCCCCCCCTTTAAGGGGTCTCCCTAATACGACCTACGATCGTAGCATGGTGGGGCAAGTCCTGGTGGACAAGACCCTCAGGATCCCTGAAACCTAAACGGCCTCGGGTTCAGGGTTTAGGGTTTGGGGTTTGGGGTTTAGGGTTTAGGGTTAAATAAATCTTACACCCTAAACCCTAAATCCAAGAGCCAAACCTCACATCCAAAACCCCAAACCCTAAGCTAACCTTACATCCCGAAAAATCCTGAATCCTCACCCTGCCTCCTGAATCCTGAAATATCAAAGCCTAGCTCATGAATCCCGAACTCCAGAACTCGAGCCTGAACCCTAAATGGGTAGTTCTCTAAATTAGGGTCCCTCTATCAGGGTCCTTTCTATAAAGCTGCCATACTATATTGGGGACCTAAAGAGGGACCCTATTTTTGTGAACTACACAAATCCTAAATCGCAAACCCTATAAATCCTATAAATCTCAAGCCCTAAATCCTGAGTCTGAACCCAAAATCCTAAATCCTAAACCCTATACATCCTAATTCCTAAGCCCTAAATCCAAAACCTGAATCCCCTAAATCATAAACCCTAAACCCCTAAACCCTAAACCCTAAATCCTATATCATAAACCCTAAATCCTGAGCCCTTGAACCCCCGTTCTGAGTGCCACGCCAGGTGAAACTCCAACCTGCTTGGCAACAGGGCTTCGGCTTCCAAAAAAGTTGGTACATAGGCTTAGGGTTTTAGGGTTTTAGGGTTTAGGGTTTAGGGTTTAGGGTTTAGGGTTTTAGAGTTCATGGCTTAGGGGTTTGGGGTTTGGGGCAGATGCGTTTGGGGTTTAGGGTTTGTGGGCTTAGGGTTCAGGGGTTAGGGCTTTTCGCGCGCAAAGAATGCATCTCCATGCTAGCAAACAGCGATCATTGGTGATGAGCCCGGCTGAAGCAAACCCAGATTTGTAGGTATGCACTGCTATACTTCTATATGGGTATATGATCTTGTGTAGTTATACCTGGGACAATGGTACTAAGTAGTCTGGCCTCTAACTACGGTATCTTGAAATATCCTCGGCTGCGAAGAATAGTAAGCCAATGCAGTGTCACTTCTTTTCATATCTTCCTGTACCCTGCAAAGGACGGCTGAAGGTCTGTGGACAAATCGTCGCATTCGACAGCGACATCCATAAACCACAATCTTCAACTCCACCCGCCCAAGAACACGACAGAAGGACCTAACCTACAGTGCTAGCCCAGCAAAACGGCCTGTCGCTACGAGAAGGCGCCAAAGCTCATCGCCCTCAGGGAGCACGCAGTTTGGGGTGGAGCTTGGGATGTGGGGTTGTAGGGCTTCGGGTTTGGGGGTGTACCTGACAGTTAAGCGCTTCAGCTTTGGCAATTCAAAGGCCCGACGAGCCTGGAGTTGAAGAATCGGGTCTTGGGAAAGTGCCCTGTGAGGTTTGGTACCACCTTTCACATTCGCCCTCCCCTCCCTCCCGCCCGCCCCCCTCCCTCCCTCTCCCTCCCAGGAAATGCCGGAGCAGCCTTTTGAGCTCGAGCATTGGAGTTGGGTTTGGCTCTTCTTCAGTGAATTTAATCGAAATGCTTCTGGCATTGAAGTTCTGAAGCGACATGTTCGTGGCATTGAAGTTCTGAACGCAAGGTTGCTATGCATCGGCGTTAGGAAAGCCCGCTAAAACGTAAACCCTAAACACTAAACCCTAAACCCTAAACCGGAAACCCTAAACCCTAAACCCTAAACCCTAAACCCTAAACCCTAAACCCTAAAACGTAAACCCTAAACCCTAAGACTTTTGCCAGAGCAGCTCTGGAGTTCCTGCGATGCATCCCAATACCAAGACCTAGCGTCCCAGGTCTCAGATACCCGAAACCCCTTGACCCCTAATAAGGGTTTAGGGTTCATAGGGGTTTAGGGGTTTAGGGTTTAGAGTTTAGGGGTTTAGGGGTTTAGGGGTTTTAGGGTTTAGGGTTTAGTCACTTGCTCCACCTTTTAGCATGAACTGTTACGGAGGGATGCGTTTTTTTGCAGAGCTTTTGCCCTTCCTTGACATCTGTTTAGGCTCTCGCCTCCGCAGTTTAAAGAACTATAAGCCCTCAACCTTATAACCCTTAAACCCTGAACTCTCAACCCTATAACTCTTCAGAGTAAACCCTAAACCCCAAAAGCCCTAAACCCTGAGCTCTAAACCCCTAACCCGTAAACCCTAAACCGTCAACCCCTCAACCGTATAACTCTAAACCCTAAACCCTCCAACTCTGCAGCGCAAATCCTAGACCCTGTAGAGGCCTGGCCGTAGGACAGAAGCTTCCGGAAGCTCTGCGACCTGAGCCCAAAAGAGTCTCAAGGTTTTTTGGGGCTTCGGGTCCGTCGGGTCTTTTTTTGTGAGTTGAGGGTTAAGGGTTTAGGGTTTAGGGTTTGGGGTTTGGGGTTTAGGGGTGGAAGGTATCTATTTCTTTTTAAGGTTGAGGGTTCAGGGTTTGGGGTTTAGAGGTGTAGGGTCGTTTTTTGTTTCAAGGTTGGGGGTTTTAGGGTTTAGGGGCGTAGAGTCTAGGGTTTAGGGTTCGGGGTTTAGGGTGTAGGGTTCGGAGTTTGGGGCGTTTAGGGTGTAGGGTGTAATAAGCTTTTGGGCTCGTGCATATTTGGTCGGTCCCGATGACGTTGACACGGATGAGGGTCTGGTGAGGATGGTCCTGCCGATGATAAGAACGGTGGTAATCATGACTGTGATAATGATGCTGTCCTGTCTAAGAGCATAGGATGGCAATCCGGCGGCGTTGACGACAAGTTTGATGCTGAATCCTCACTGTTCATTAGCATCGCTACCCGCCTCAGCAACAACACAAACAACGCACACCACAACGACATCATCAATGCTATCACCATCATCTTCGCAACCATCATCGTGATAATGACAGTTATGATTTTCACGATCACCATCATCATCACCATCGCCATCGAGGTCATCATCAACAGCATCTTCATCATTCTCTGCAGCAACATCATGACAGCCGTCAATATAATAAGTCTACATCTCCTCCGCCACATCCACATGATCGGAGTCACCATCGTTCATGATATTTGACTGTCGCCATCAGCATTGCCAGAGGCACAGAAAGCCTCCTCCTCCTCCTCTTCGTCGTCGTCGTCATCATTGCCGAAACCAGTATCACAGTACTATCGTCATTAACATCATCACAATCGTAATCTGTTCATGAACATCCACTTGTCGACCACTCTATCGTCACCACCAAGCATCCATCTTCGCATCCCCTTTTGAAACTCTCAGAACCGACCAAGTTTTTTGTGCGAGCATTGCAACTTAACAGGACGGCCGGGCGGCTCAACGCCGGCCATGGACAGCCGCATGTTGCCCTGAGCCTGATGCCATGTTGGCTTAGGGCCTTGGGGATTTTCAGGCTTGAGAGGCGTCGATTGCTAGGAACCCCAAGTGGAATTTGAACTCCGACTCTGGGGTCGACTTTCTGCCTGTTCTGGCTCGTCCCTCCTCGACATGATACCCCTCACCTTCACACGTACGCTTGCAACCCTTAGCCTTATAAGCCGAAGCCCTGACTGCTAGGGCCACCTTCGCATGCATGAAACTCCCAAACCCGGGGTTCAGAGCTCTGCAGTCTGGTACGCCCTAAACCCTAACGTCCTAAACCCTAAATTCTGAACCCTAAACCCCTAAAC